TATGCAACAAATTTCTGTAGCTTATGCCAAGCAGTAATGGATGACTAGTTAAGTCCTTGCCTTAAAGTTGATCTGCTTTTAGTTCGGTTTTGTTCTCCTTCCAGAGCGTTTGTTCCCATTTTAATTGGTGCTATTGAATTTAGAGGAGGAAACTTTAGAGTGGCTTAAAGGAGAGTAATAAAAAGTCACATAAGACTGAAAAAGCATCACGAGGATCTTGGTTGTTCATCCAAGAGAAGAGACAGTCCTGGTGTTAAGCAATAGTTCAAGTCCTCAAAAGAATGTGCTACAGACGGGGCAGATGTCATGCTTAATAGGATTTGAATTATACCTTAAGGTGTGGCCTGACAGTTAACTAATCAATCCATGAATCTCCATTTTCCTGCTGTGGTGCTCACACAAAACACTATGTAGGACTTTTATTTAGTCCTTCCCAGTTAGATCATAACTGATGAAATAACACCAGAATGGCTCTGAATTTGCCAAATGTGGGTGTATCAGAATGCTAACCATGGTTTGTGTGCACATGAAAGTTGGACAAAGAATAAGAAATACCAAAGAAGAACTAATGCCTTTGAATTGTAGTGTTGAGGAAGAGAGTGTTGAGTACAAACCACAGATTACCAAAAGAAGGAACTAATCTACTTACTGCAGAGGGTCAAGGACTACAGCCTTCAGTATGGACTGAGGCTCAATGTCAAGAAGACAAAGATTCTCACCACTGGACCAATTGGTAGCATCAGGATGGATGGCGAAAAGACTGAGATTGTTCACAGCTTCAGTTTGCTCGGCTCCACAGTCAACACTCTTGGCACCAACAGCCAGGAAATCAAAAAACGTATTGCGATGGGAAAGTCTGTGGTTAGGGACCTCTCTAAAGTACTCAAGAGCAACAGTGTCTCTTTGGAGACGAAGGTGCACCTGATACAAGCCATGGTCTTTGCTGGACAATGACTAGGGAGGACAGAAGAATTGACACCTTTGAGATGTGATGCTGGAGAAGAGTATCAAATGTACCATGGACTGCCAAGAAAACAAACAGATTCATCCTAGAGAGGGTTAAACCAGGCTACTCCTTGGAGGCAAGGATTCTGGGGCCTCGTCTGACATACTTTGGACATGTTGCAAGGAGAGACAGGTCTTTGGAGAGGGACATCATGCTGCATAGAGTAGAGGGACAGCGCAGGAGGGGAAGACCCTCTATGAGGTGGATTGATTCAGTGACTGCGGTAATCGGGATGGGTGTGTCAGAGGCAATGCGATTGGCACAGGATAGAGTAGGGTTTAGGGCTGTTGTACATAGGGTTGCTATGAGTCGCAAATGACTTGACGGCACATAACAACAATAACAACAATCTATCTTGGAGAAAGTATGCCCAGGGATTCCTTGAAGGTGAGAATGGTCAAATATCATCTCATATATTCGGGATATATTATCAGGAGGAACATTCATTGCAAAAAGACATCATGCTTGGAAAATTAGAGGACCAGAGAAAAAGATGAATTGACACAGTGACTGTAATGGGCTTGAGCATGGCAGAGTCTGGGAGGATGGCACAGGAGATGGCACTGTTTAGATCAGGGTCACCAGGAATGAAAGTTGACTCAACAGCACCTAACAACACAGTCAAAAAATATTCCAAGACTCAGACTTGAGAACTAGGAATAAGGGGTGCTTCAAGACAATCAGGATAATTTAAGGGCATTGTTATGAGGAAACTGTTATGTATACATATGATCTCAAGTGAGGTATCTGCCTCTGGGTGCAGTAGTTGCCATGTAGTCACTGCTGACTCCTAAGAACCCCTTCTGAGTCAGACTACAATTGGGAACCATACCGTTTGCAACAGCTCATTTTTCAGAAGTAGATCGCCAGCATTTCCTTCCATGGTATCTCTAAGTGACTTTGAACCTCAAACTTGGTTTGTTAACATTTGCACCAGTCAGGGATTCTACCACTCTGGTGGTTGTTGTGTACTGTAGCGTCTGAACCAAACCATAGCTGACCCTCCAGCAGGTTTTCAGAGGCAGTTAATCGCATGGGAGGAGATTGCCCATCCTTCTCCTGTGGAGCACCTGGTGGTCCCAAACCACATGCCTTTGGGATAGGCGTGCAGCTTCTTGCCACTAGGCCACCAGAGTTCCCTCTGGTAGAACTTATTAGAGTGGTTCCTCTGGTGAGAATTTATGTAGGGGATTAGAGCCAGGAAGGCGGCGGGGGGCGGGGGGGGGTAGTGGAGAAAGATTAAATTAAGTTTACTTCTTGTCCAGAGCTTAAGAAAGAAAAAGGAAAAAGTCTAAATTCCAAAATGATATAAAAGGACTTCCTGTAAAAAAATACTGTACGTTTTAGTACTGGAGGAAGACTATCAACAACTTGCATTATGCAGATGACACAACCTTGCTTGGTAAAACTGAGGAGGACCTAAAATATTTACTGTGGAAGGCTAAAGTCTGTGTCATCTTCAACATGAATTGAAGCTCAACATCAAGAAAACAAAGATCCTCACTACTGGGCCAAATGACAGCACCATGATAGGTGGAGAAGAGATTGAGGTTGTTGACAATTTCAACTTGCTTCTGACACTAGCAGTTAAGAAATCCAAAGACAAATTTCACTAGAAAAATCTGCTGTCAGGAACCTCTACAGAGTACTGAGGAGCAAGGATGTCAGTCTAGAGACCAAGCACCTGATCCAAGCCAGGATCTTCACAATTATTTGCTATACATCAGAGAACTGGATGACAGAAGAATTGAAGCCTTTGAGTTGTGGTGCTGGAAAAGAGTATTGAACATACTATAGATTGCTAAGAGAATGAACAAGTCTATCTTTGAGAGGGTAAAACCAAGTTTCTCCTTAGAGGCTAGGATTTTGAAGCCCCATCTTACATACTTTGGGTACGTGGCCAGGAGAGACCAGACCTTGAAGAAAGACATCATGCTTGGAAGGATGGTGGGACAGTGAAAGAGATTAAGACCCCAGATAAGATGGATTGACACAGTAACAGGGGTAATGGGGTTAGGTGTGTTGGAGTCAGACTGGCTCAGGCTAGAAGAGGCTTCCGAGCTGTTGTACATAGAGTTGCTATGAGCTGCAGGTGACTAGATGGCATGGAACAAAATAAAAAAAAAAGTTTTCTTAAAAAGAATATAAAAAACTAGGTATAAACCAAATGTAAAATAAATAAGGCTTTTAAAATTTATAAAATATAATATATAATAAACTCTGAAAGATTTATGTTTTAGGTATTGTTAGATTAGGCTATTAATCATCATACTGAAAAGTATTTAAAATGCTAGAAAAAAATGTTTTAGCAGAGGTAACAAACTTAGATTCTTTTGTTTTCCCTGAAAGGATTTTTCCAATCCTAGAAAAATCTGTACATAGGTTTTGATGGCCTTGAATACTGAGTGAACATAATTGAAAACTTGGCACTGACAATTATAAGTCTAATAAAAGAAGAAATTATAAACTAAAATCTTAAATGACACTTATCAGGCACAATGTGAACTATGAGTGAAATGACCTAGAAAGAAATTTCAATCCATGTTGTAATTATCCAGAATGTCCAAAATGCTTTGAGATTTGACTTGATTCAAGGTGATCCAAGACTAATGTTAATACCTTGTTTCTGACAGAGCTAATCAAAATTTCTCTTTGGAAAAGGGATACCTTATTCAACTTTTATTCCAAATAAAGAAACAACAGGTAATCAAAGATAATGAGGAATACAAGGAAACAAGACATAATAAACAAGATCCAGTAGAGGAAACAGATCTACAAAGGCATCCCATCAGACTTTTCAGTGTTTCTTTGGAAAGATAACCCACAGCTCTTGCAATCTTTTGTTGTTGTTCACTTTCTTCCAGCCACACTATTCTTACTGTTCATTGAACATACCATATATACACTTTTATCCAAGAGATTTGGCATTTGTTCTCTTCCTATGATATTTACATGACTTTCTCCTACCTCCTTCATATCTTCACTGGAATATCTTCCTGACCTATCTTGAAAATGGACTATGTCTTCTAAAGTGACATTTTTGTGTCCTTTCCTTGCTTTATATGTTTGATAACTTTTACCCTATCAATATTGAAAATATATTCTAATATTTGTCTTGCTTCCTTCCCCTGTCAGAATGTAGGCTCTATGATGGCAGGGAATTTTGCCTGTGTTCCATATTTTGTCTTCTGTACATCCTATGAGTTATCAAATAATACACAACTTCATATTCCCAATTCATCAGAGTGCAAGGTAAACTGGTAGAAGGAATAAATTAATGCTTATACTTGGAAAGCTTCAAATAGGGCTTGGCTCATTCTAATCACTTAATATGCTACTTATTTTTACTACTATTAAAAATTTTTAAAAAGAGAGAGAGAAATTTAAAAAAAAATCAGACAAGTAGGTATTTCTATCTAAGATGAATTAGTCAATGTTTGTTTCATCTCATTAATCAACTCATTACCATATGACTACATCATCAGCCTTAGTATATATGCTACATAGTATATACTGTATATATTTTAATACCTGGAAAGTACTTCCAGATACTAAAAAACATCTGGCCAATAATAAAGTAATAATAATATTTTTATATTTGTAAAAAAAATTATGGCATATTTGACAAAAAATGCAAGTTCTACATATGTGTGTGTGCGTAGATATAGATAGATATAGATATATTTAATCAAAGTATTTAATAGAAGTGAATTAATCTTTCACTTTGTAGTTGGATGGCATTTATTTTACTTGTGTGAAAAAAGTATTTCCACACTCCTATTTTACACTATTCCCTATGATACAAGAAAATAAGTAAACCTCCAGACTTTAATTTTTATGACAATGACTTCAACAACAAAAGATTTTGGGAGTGTTAAGAAAATGGAGATGAAGTAGAACCCATGGTGTGAGATCACAGAAATTCTACAAACATACAGTCTATCTTGAACCAATGAGTCTTTCCCAGACAAGGGCCCATACAGGTGACACTCACAGAATTTCCATTTTCAATCCAGGTGATGGTGGGGACAGGGATGCCTGTTGCTGTACAGCGCAGGGTCACAAAGGAGCCAAACGTGGCATTGTGAGACTCAGGAGACCTCAGGATTCTGGCAAAGACTGTTTAGAAGACAAAAGTGGTGAGTTACTTTCTAAACAGAATGCTCAAGCTAAATTATCTTCCAAAAATGTATATCAGATCATAATCTTCTGTGTTTCCCTCTAAGGAGAATATCAAACTCCCCCCTTACCTTTGTTTTAAGGAGAATACCAATCTCCTAACTCTGGTCTATGCTCCTAACCCTTTATGCTGTGACCCTGTATTCCTCACCTCTGCAGGACATGTTCCCAGTTTAGACCTCATTCTGCTGCTTTGTCTACCTAAGATGTTCACGCCACAGATCTTCACATGGCAGCATCCTTGTATCACTGAGTCCTGGTTTAAGTCACACTTCTTCAGAAGGACCTTTCCTCAGAGCTCAACATAAAGCATATCTCTACCTATATTTGCTTTCTGCCATCCACTTTATTGCTTTTACAAATGTTAACACTTTATGAAATTATTCCTTTTATAAGTTATCTATTATCCCTCTTACCAACTGACTGGAAGAGATCCATATTTATTGTCATTCCAAAAAAGGTGACCCGACAGAGTGTGGAAATTATTAAAACAATATTACTAATATCACACACTAGCAAAATCCTGCTGAAGATTATCCAGAAAAGACTTGAACATTGACAGAGAACTACCAAAAATACAGGCTGGGTTTAGAGGAGGTCGTAGCACTAGGGGCATTATTGCCAATGTCAGATGGATCTTGGTAGAAAGCAGAGGGCACCAGAAGAATGTCTATCTGTGTTTCACTGACTATGCAAAGGCATTTGACTGTGTGGATCACAATAAATTGTGACTAACCTTGAGGAAAATGGGGATCTCAGAGCACTTGATTGTGCTTATATGAAACCTATACTTGGAAGAAGCAGTCCTCAATAACAGAGCAAAGAAACACTGCATGGTTCAAAATCAGGAAAGGAGTGCATCAGGGATGCATCCTGTCACCTTTTCAATCTATATGCAGAACAGATCATTCAGGAAGCAGGGCTTTATGAGGAGGAGTGTGGCATCAGAATTGGAGAAAGACTCATCAACAACCTATGATATTCAGATGACACAACCTTGCTTACTGGAACTGAGAAGGACTTGAAGCACTTGCTTCAAAGGTCAAGGGCTATAGTCTTCATTTATGGATTGAAGCGCAACATCAGGAAGACAAAGATTCTCACCACTGGGCCAATTGGCAGCACCATAATAGATGGAGAAGAGATTGAGGTTGTTAACAGTTAAAGCTTCCTCAGATCCACAATCAACACTCTTAACACCAGCAGGCAGGAAATAAAAAAATGAATTGCATTGGGAAAATCTGTTGTCGTGGACCTATCCAGAGTGCTGAAAAGCAATGATGTCAGTCTAGATACAAAGGTGTGCCCTGTCCAGGCCATTTTCTTTTTAATTATTTGTTATGCTTCAGAGAGTTGGACAATGACTAACGATGACAAAGAAGAATAGATACCTTAGAGTGTGGTGCTGGAGAAGAGTCTTGAACATACCATGGGCCACCAAGAAAACAAATAGGTCTTTCTTTGAGAGGGTGAAACCAAGTCTTTCCTTGGAGGCTAGGATTTTAACTCTCTGCCTCACTTACTTTGGGCATGTGGTCAGGAAAGATCAGTCCTTGGAGAAGGACATCATGCTCAGAAGGGTGGACAGACCGCATAGGAGAAGGAGACTCTGGATGAGATGGACTGATACAGTAAGTGGGGTGATGGGGGTTGGTGTGTCAGAGTTAGTGAGACTGGCTCAGAACAGAAAAGAGTTCAGAGCTGCTGTATATAGGGTTGCTATATATTGCAGGCGACTCAATGGCACATAAAAACAATAACATACGATGACAGGTTTGGAAGCCAGGGTGGCATCCACTTTCTAAATATCATGCCTCCAGAATCTCTATGAACTTTGATAAATGTTGATAGTTGTAGAGGGGCTCCAGGTCCTTTGTTCATAAGTTTACTATGAGTCATGCTTAACTTGAAGGCAATCAACAGCAACAACATTATTCCTCCTCTGAGGAACTTGGAGGCATAGTGTAATGTGTTGGGTTGCTACACAGATTTTTGTGGTTTGAACCAGCCAGCTGCTTTGCAGAAGGAAGATGGATTATCTTCGTCTGCAAAGATTTGCAATCTTAGAAACCCAGTGGAAGATGACAGTGAGTTAGTCTGGCTTGATGGGAGTTGTTTTGGATTATCCCACTGCTAGATTGTGAGGTCTCTAAAACTTGGGGATTTGGTTTAGTTTTTCACTGTTATAATAATCACCTAGAAGAGTTGTTTATGCCCAAAGTAAGTACTACTGGATTTTGTTGAACAAATGAAATAATCAACGCTTTATGGCCTCAACTCTATATCAGTATATACGGGCGGGGGGGGTGGGGGGAGTAAAATCTACCAAACTTTTCAGAGAAAAAATATTTCATGTAAAAGAGGGACATGACAAAGAGCAATTTATATTCTTATTGAAACTGAATCTCTAATGATTAAGTAAAAAGACAGTATTTTGGTATAAACAGTAATATTGACAACTGAGATTAAGGATCAGAATGTAAAATAAATTTAAATGGACTCTCAGAATCATTTTGTTGATAAGGAATGCTCAAGCTAAAGACTTTAAAGAGGAACACTAACTAGATTCCCGCTTACATTTTACAGACATGTTAGCTAAAGTTCAGTTTTGAAGGTATGTTATAGATTGAATGGTATCCTTCCAAAATAGAGATGCCATTTATAGTCATTGGACCTATGGATCTGATTGTGTTTAGAAATGGGATTTTTCTTATGTCATTTTAATGGAGTTACACCTGTACAGAATGGATTCTAAGTCTAATCACATCTGACTTAGGAAAAGACCCAAATGAACACAGATACACAGAAGGGAAGCCAGACATCTTGTGGGAACATTGACAAGTCAAAGAACTAAGGAACTGCCAAAATTACTAACAGGGAATGAATCAAAATGCCTGAGGACTTTATTTAGATTTGTTGTCTCAAAAACTGAGGAGGGTGAGGTGGGGTTTCTTTTCTTTAAAGGCTTTCACTTGGTATAAGTCATGGTAGAACAGTACTCAAGAAAAAAACTCTTAACTCAAATATACTGCAATCAAGTTAGTTCCAACTCAGTGACTCTCCATTGGACTTCTAAGGCTGTAATCATAAAGGGGACACTACCCATCTTTCTTCCTCGGAGCTGCTACTGGATTTGAACTGCAAAGGTGTGGCCTTTGGGATAACAGTGCAACTTTCTATGGATGACGCCACTAGAATTCCTCATAACAATATTAAGTAAAGAAAACAAATGCTGTCTAAGATAATACAACTTAGATGTGGGAGAAACCTAGTCTCAAGTTTTCTGAATTCAAAAGCAATGTTCTTTTTTAAATGTTATAAAATCTTTTTGACTGCCTATTATATCATGAATATAATATTTTTTGCTATTGCCTTTTATTTTAAATTTTTGTTTTTATTTTTATTTTCCATTTTTAATTTTATTTACAGTTGACTTTTATTTTCCAGAGATTATCTGAAACATAAAAGATAATATGAATCCTCCGTTAACATAGTGCTTTGAAATTTAGTTCTTTGAGTTAATTGGAATTTGTGAAATTTGAATTCTAAAGGAAAATAGAGGGAGGTATAGTGTATCCTATGAAGCATATAAGCAGGACAATCATCTATCAGATCTAGAACTGTGTAAGATCTTGGTTTGCTTGTTGAATAATTCTTGAACAAGAGATTATATAATTCAGTGAGATACAAAGATATATGATTTGCTTGAAAATCAAATCTGCTTTGCAGATTCAAACTTACTTAATGACTTCTCTTTTCCTACTGAGGGCTCAAAAGGATAGAGTATTTTAGAAATGCAAATGTTGAGCCCAAAATTCAGGAAATGAAAATGCAAGTCAGTACTGTTATTCAAAGCAGCAATGTAAGTGTTATAAAAGATAAAATAATGGGAATAAACGAATGGGCTAAAAAATGCAGTGGAATCTGTCCCAAGAAAATTGTCATTTTTTATCTTCACGTGCCATGGAATCGACTGCAATTCATAGCAACCCCGTATACAATAGATCTGAACCTTGCCCTCTCTTGAAACATCATCATAATTTCCATTATACTCAGTCAAGTCCATTGTTGTCGTCACTGTGTTATTCTATCTCACTGATGGTCTTCTCTTTCACTCTGATGGCAAGAAGCTGTACTGCAATCTCAAAGTAAGTTGTTTAAATCCTCCAGCTGCACCATGGGAGAAGGATGGGTAACCTCCTCCCAAGTGATTTACTGCCTCTGAAAACCTGGTGGAGGGTCAGGTATGAGTTGGTTAAGACTCAGTGACACACCACAATAACTACCTTTCTCAGCATGATATCTTTTTTACAAAGAAAAAATGTAGCCTTTCTTGACAACATGTCCAAAATATGTTTTTAATTAAGGCCTAAACTATAATTACCAATCTATAAGAAATTATATATTGAGAAACACAATAAACAATATCATGAAGATGCAATTAAACTAAAGTCGAAATAGAGTAAACTTAACTGATTAATTTGTTTCTTCAATAATAACAAAAAAGAACTTCAGGGGAAAATTAAATGGATGAGAGAATCCTTAAAGATTGTTGTTTTGTTAGGTATAATTTTGTTGAGTACAACTCATAGTGGCTCTATGAACAACATATCTGAACCTCTGTGCCATTCTCACCAACTATGATATTAGTGAGCCTATCACCCATCTAAGGAGTTCTGGTGGTCTAATTCATAGGGAGTAGAGATGCTAAGCAAAAGCTCCCACTTCTCTGCTTTTCAAATCCATCAGTGCCACCTTGGGAGAAATGTGGGCTATCTCCTTTTATGTGATAGATCTGCAGCCTCAGAAACGTACTGGAGAGTTAACTATGAATCAGTTCCAACTCAATGGCAATGAGGGATGAGTACCATCCATCTCTAATGTGTGCTGCTTTTGTGGATCTTACGCCAATAAATAGGAACTCAGGTAGTGTAGTTCAT